AATAGCAATTGATTATTTGGGTTGGCTTTCCTTTATGGCCGTTCGTTAAAGGGGCGGTGGGCGAATGGTAAGTGGGCATGGCACCTCTAACCCACCTTTTTGGAGAGGAAACGAACCGCCATTGACAAAAATGCAACCCCCGCCCACCTAGGTCCCCTATGGTTCCCTAGGGACCCCTTAGAAAAATTGCAAAAATCACAATTTTCATTTGCGTTTATTCGCTTGAAAAATGTTAAATATTCATTTGCACAATACATTTTTATATAAACATTTTTATATACAAGACATTTTTATAAAACACCCAGTAACCAAAATAGACATCACTGGGGCGGCAGCCCCTGGTTTACCCCACAGAAAGGGAATTCTAGTTACCTCATCCTTTCCCAAGGTTACATCAATGGGGCGGTAGCCACAGTTAGGTCACACAGAAAGGAGAATTCTACGTAGTAAGGGTTATAATCCCTAAGCGCGCCCGAAGGTGGCCTACGCAGAAAGGAATTCTACGCAAAAATACTGTGGACGCAAGTAAAAATTGCGATTTTTGCCATATTTCTAAGGGGTCCGTAGGGAACCATAGGGGGCCTAGGTGGTCGGGGGTTGCATTTTTGTCAATGGCGCTTCATGGCCTCTCCAAAAAGGTCGGTTGGAGGTGCCACGCCCACTCCTCCTTCGCCCACCGCACCTTTAACGAACGGCCATAATGGAAAGTTTCCCCGATTATTTCAAATCCCGATTTGTAACAAAATTGGCTCACCGCAAATCCATGGCAATATTTATACACAAAAGTGGTGTTATGCAGCGTTTTTGCTGCATTTAAAATTCAACATTTAGCACTTTCGTACATATGTTTTCGAAGAGCGTTCATGCTATTGTGGCGAATACTGCGGCAACACAAAGCGAACAACGAGAAATAGGCAGAATGTTCGAGGAATGACGTAGAATGTTCCACAAAGAGAAACGTCAAGTTGGATGAACACTGCGAACAGCGAGAGAAAGAGAATGAGCGATAAACTTCAGAACGTTCTAGAGTTGCCATAAGTGTGAGCGCAGGTATATAAGAGCCACGACACAGCGGAGTGGGGACAGTTACAAGTCAGCAAGCTACAAGTAAAGTGAGCGGAGAATCGAGTTGCGAATAAGCAAGCTATAAGTTTAATTGTGTTAACAAGTAGTAAAGCGTTGTTATTGCTTTAACAAGTATTGTAAAGTGTTTTTACTGTATTAGCAAGTATTGTAAATTGTTTGTTG